CCCACCCCTCCCTCGCCTCCCACCCCTCCCTCGCCTCCTCCCCCACTCCCTCGCCTCCCACCCCTCCTCGCCTCCACCCCTCCTCGCCTCCCACCTCCTCCTCGCCTCCACCCCTCCTCGCCTCCCTCCCCCTCCTCGCCTCCTCCCCTCCTGCTCCACCCTCCTGCTCCTCCCCTCCTTTTTCTCAAACCCTTTGGTTCCTGACCTGCCGAGCGAAGAGGCGATTCAGCAGATCAACTCGACCAACCAGTCCATGAAGAGCTCGATTGAAAACCTCCTAGTGCGTGCCGCAAACTTCTTGTCCTCTCCTGCTTTCCTCGGTCCCGCTCCTGTGCTTCGTGCCCACCTTGCCTCTTTCCTCTCTGTCTCCCTCGCCGCTGTCTGTTACTCATGCTCCTGCTTTAGAGGTTCGACAAGGAGTACGATGAGGTCTACGGCGGCAAGCTCGCGTCTGCTCATGCCTTCGCCGAGTACACCAGGTAACTCCCTGAAGGCTCCCTCCTTCGGCTTCAGGCCGTTGACCGCTATTGCAGCTCCTTTCACGATACCAGCATGCTCAACGGCTCCATGTACGGGAGAGGAGGAGAGTATTTCTCAACAGGTCGAAGTGTGTTTACGGAAGCTTGAGGAGGAGTTCGTCCGCCATTCCAGCTAGAACAAGCGAAGATGTTCACATTCATTACATGTCCTCTTGTTCCTCGTACGGATGCAACAAAAGCTGCTGTGCTTGAGTCACACACGCGTTGAGCGCAGCGACAAAAGCTCGTGCTCGTTGCTGGCTCGGCATCTCAAACATGATCACGCCGAAGCGGGAGGTGAGAACCTGTGAAGCGCATGACTAGAGTCAAACCGACTTGACCTCACCGTTCCGTCGTGCGAGGCCTCAGCTCGCATGTCTAGCAGCAAGTTGATCCGGGAGAGAACATGTGGAGAAGGAATCGAGAAGGGAGAAAAGAGTCAGAAGAACAATCCCAGGAGAGCAGTGTAGATGGAGATGGAGATGGAGATGGAGAAGGAGAAGGAGAAGGAGGGAGGGGCAGGAGAAGGAGAAGGAGAAGGAGGGAGGAGGAGATAGAGTACGTACAGATATTTGTCTCCTGTGCTGCCTCAAGGATCACCGTCCTGCTCAGATCGGCGAAGCGAATGTTGTCTGAGGTTTCGGACTTCCTCCTCCTCGCTGATCCTTCACTTTCTCTCCTGTCGTCTCCTCCCTTCTTATCCTGCCCTTCCCCACCATCCTCGTTATTAGCAGCAGCGTTCATGCTGTCGCAGAACGCCGTCCTCTCATCTGCATTATTCTATCAGACGGGAACAAGACTTTGGGACGAGGATTTTGTGGTGATGAGGTGGGAAAAGAGGAGGAGGAGGAGGAGGAGGAGGAGAGGCATTACCTTGCCCGAGACATTCAAAGTGGACATGTTCCATGGCATACGTTGCCTGAGAAGGATACGTGAGCAGGGCAAGACAAGATTCGTTGGCACCTGCAGACCCTCGAGAGGGAGGATGAAGTCGTCAGGCCTGCTGCTCTCCCCTTGCGAGGGAGGGGTCTCGTCCTCGTACGCCTTGACCGCGAGCTTAGGAAGAGGCTGCCCTCTCATTACCAGAACATCGCAGTAGAGATAGAGCCTGCAGGCTCCACCTTTAAAATCCTCCTCCTCTTCCTCCTCCTCCTCCTCCTCCTCCTCCTCCTCCTTCCCCATTAAACCACTCCATTCGTCGCTTCATTCCCATAATCGTTTCTTGCATGCTTGTCTATTATCATTGTTAGCGCCTTACCGGCACATGGGATGAAAGGATGGCCGAAGTTGCAGGAAGAACTTGTTGGCAGGAAGAGCTCGGCAGATTTCCTCTGCCAGGGAGAAGCAAATTAGACGCCCATCGTTCCCATCCTAAGCCTCCTTGTCTTCCAGTGCCTTTACTCACCCTTCCTCTCCTTTGCGCTCCTGATCCTTGCTTTTCTTTCCCAAAATTGCCTCTTCTCCCCCCTCTCCCTCCTCTCGCGTCCCTCAACTTCTCTTAGTTTACTCTGCTTCCACTCCTTGCTCTTGCTGTGTCCCCGTTCTCTTCACTCCTCCAACCTCCTGCTCCTGCTCCTGCTCCTGCTCCCCATCTTCTCTCTCGTCCAATGTCATCAGCTGGCTGTTGTCCTACCGCAGACAAGCTGTCGATGTGGCTGCATGATGTCCCGGCTGATTCCTCGGTAAACTGCAGCAGCGAGAAAGGAGAAAAGGAAAGAGGAGGATGGGGAAGAGGAACGACAGTGTAAGATAGGATATGCAGTGTGGGAGAGAGAGACGGGCAAGGAGAGGAATGGGAAGGGTAGAGGACGTGGAGGAGAGAAGAAGGGGAAGGAGGGAGATAGAGAAGGAGGGAGGTAGATCTGGAGGTAGATGAAGGAGAGAGATGGAGAGAGAGGGAAGTAGATGAAGGAGAGAGCTAGAGGGAGAGGGAGGTAGAGAAAGGAGAGAGGGAGGGGTGGAATTCTCAGAGAAAGGACTTGGGAGTGAGAGCGAGGAGGAGCATGTTACCGGTCTCTTTGGCTGTCTTGTCGTAAATGCCGATCAGTCTCTCTGCCATCGTCCAACTTCAGCTGGCCCTGAAGGATCTTGAAATTCTCACCTGCAGTTTCACAGTCTTCCAGACATTCTGCAACGAATCTCTGGAAGATGACGATGAAATCTTGTTTCTTCGCCTTGAATGCCGTCATAGACCGGCAAACAAGAAGGGGGCTGTCGCTGACCTTGTCTTGCTCTCCGCTCTCATCGCTCGTAAGTCGCCTGCTCGCTTCGAGAACTTTCTTCCACATCCCAACGACCCGTGACATCTCATGCTCCAGCGACCGGCAATGCTCCAACTCGATGCTGAGAATGATCATAGTGAGATGAGAGGAGGAGGAGGTAGAGGAGGAGGAGGAGGAGGTGGTGGTGGATGATGATGATGATGATGATGATGATGATGATGATGATGATGATGATGATGATTGACAGATGGTGGCATGAACTTTGTACCTCCCGAGAAAGTGATGAAGGAACTGATTTCTGGAGCACATCTTGCGTATGTTGACAACGTGCGAGTGTAGATTGTTGATGAAGAGTAGGATGGCAGGGCTGATGGCAAAGATGGACGAGAGGAAGGAGTTCAAAACTCCTCTCAGTTGTGCGATGCTACAGCAGACCGACTCGGACGTGTCGTCCTGCTTGCAGTCTTGACACAAAGTGACAAGTACAAGACTACAGATCATGTTCACCTGACAGGTGTTGGTTGCCTCCAGGTTATGTAGATAAGTTTCTACATCCAGCAGCAGAGACGATACGGATTGTCTGATTTCCTTGTAGTTGCCGAAGGACCTTGCATGCTCGATCGGAGTGATTTGGTCTTGAGTCAAGCCCTTACCATACTTGTAAGATCAGAGGAGGAGGAGAGGGGTGGGGAGGCGGCAGAAACGGAGAGACAGGATGGACAGAGAGAGATGGGGAGGAGGAGGTGAGGGAGGACGGAAAGGAGAGGATAGATATCACAGCGCAAGTCAGGATCCGTAACTTACAGAGAAGGGAAGGTAGAAGGAGTCGAAAACACAATCGACGCTCTCAAACAAAGTCCGCAAGATCGCTCTGACGTTTGAAAGTTCTTGACGACATCTTTCCAACTGGCTGAATATCATTGCGAAATCTGCCGATCTCCCCCTCATTTTGTATCCTCCCTCCCTCCCTCCCTCCCTCCCTTCCTCTCCTGCCTCCCCCGCCTGCCTCGCCCTCCTTGCCTCCCCTGCCTCTCAACTCTCCTCCTATTCCCATCCTCCACCTGGCTTTACTGTCTCTCTCGATCTCACCATTCCGATTGCATCGTCGGCCCACTTGACAACATTCATACATGACTCTTTCATCTGCCACGAAAGATCAGGAAAGAAGCGAGACACCAGGGATGGGGATCAGTTTCACCTGAGTCTTGACTTCTTCCGACAAACTATCAACTATCATACCTGCATGTCGAGAAAGAAATCATTCTCAGAGACAGAGACAGATTCAACAGCTGCATCACCCGGGTCAAAGACAAAGAATTCAGCCTGCGGGAAACAAGGATGATAGCCAAACGAAACATGTTAGCGCACGCTCTGGCCATCACTCGCTCATCAACACCTCAGTCTTCGTCATCTGCGATGAAACATGTTTCACCATCTTGTCTCTACTTTCTCATCATCGTCTTACCACAGAGAACCTTTCTTCGCTCGACAGGAGCGTTGAAACAAGGCCCACCACTGCTCCTGACTGCAGGTCGCCCAAGTCCATCAACGCTTCCCTTGCTCCGTCGTGAAGGTGATGAGAGGAGTTGGTTCGCAATTGGAGCGTTTGACTGTTTGTCTTGAGCCTCTTAGTTCGGCTCACTGTCCCGCTCTTGAGGATGTAGATGCGATCGCACGCCTGTCCTTCTTTGATCTGAGATGAGAGGTGAGATGAGAGAAGGGTTGGCAAGGTCATGACAAGTACAGGGGAAGAGGGGGGAACAGGAGGAGAGGAGGAGAGGAGAATGAGAAAAGAAGAGAGGAGAGGATAGAGGGAGGGAAAGGTGGAGGAGAGACAGAGAGTCAGAGAGGAGTGGAGGAGATAATCTCAACAGAGGTCAGAGTTACCAACTCCCATCCAGCATTTTTTCGTACTAATTGTCCCTTTTCCAACAACTTTTCGATCACAGACCTGAAAGCAATTGTAACTTGAATCACCAACATCTTTGAATCCACCTTTCCAGCCTGCAGAGGAGGAACGAGGAGGTGAGCAGCTGCTGGCAAACGTCTCGTTGCTTCACATTCATGGTCACTCAGCAACATGACAAGAGACGGTGAATCAGGTGGAAGGAGAAAATCTGAAACGAGGAAGCATTTGAAACATGAGGAGGAGGAGGAGGAGGAGACCAGGTGGTGGTGGTGGTGGTGGAGGAGGAGGAGGAGGTGGTGGTGGTGGTGGTGGTGGAGGTGGTAGTGGTGGAGGAGGTGGTGGTGGTGGTGGAGGAGGAGGAGGAGGAGGAGAGGAGATCAGGAGGAGGAGGAAGCTTAATACTTGTTTCAAGTACGACAAGACAACTCCCGTCAACCCTGTTGGATCCTGCAGCAAGCATCAACGCTGGGAGGTTTGAAGATGGCAAGTCTACCTCGACAGCGAGAGGGAAGGCGAGGAGTACACTGTCAGTCATGGCGGAGACGGTGGTGGCGTCATGACGCCACGGGAAGAGAGCGGGGGAGATGATTTGAACTCCCTGGACGTGATGGGACAGGAACTTTCTAAATATGCGCAGCATTGCGATCAGATTGAAATTCGTCTTCCTTCCTTGCACCACCTGGCGCCGAAGCAGTCGCCTGTCGTGAGCCGCTTCCCTCCTCCTTGGGATCTTGTTCCATGAGCCTCGCAGGCGCCTTCAACGAGGTCACAGTGCTGGACTCGAGTCTCGTAGCCCCCACCTTCACTGAGGATGTAGAGCTTCTCCTGCTCCACGATCTGCTCCTCTCGTCGGTCTGACTTCGCCTGCCATGTCTTCCCTGCCCGGAAGCGAACGATGCTGCTCACTCATCACCTCCCCACCCCACAGGCCCTGCTCCTTGCCTGGAGCATCGGACGATGTTGCTGCAGGTCTTCTTGCCGAGGAAGGCGAACACCGGCGCGTCTACATGCCATGGTCAAGCCGCGGCATGGCAGGCAGGAGATCTCACGCGCTACCAGACGCTCTGCCAGCTCATGCTCTCGATCTTCTCGTTCCTGACAAGGAGGAGAAGGATAAGCAGAAGAAGACAAAAGAAGAAGACGGCGCCAAGGAGGAGGAGAGATGGCGAGGAGGATGAGAGGCGTCACCATGGCGGGCGACGGCTGCTTTGCTCCATACGCTTCACTGATGCCGCATAGACATTCTGAACGATCCTTAAAAAAAAGAATTGACAAGAGGGGAGGGGAGGGGGAGATGGGAGGAGAGGGGGAGATGGGAGGGAGGAGGATTCTGTTGGTGAAGGTCTGACAGGAGGTAGGGAGCAGGAGGACAGGTAAGATATGAGGGCCAACGGGTGTGTACGAGGAAGGGATCCTTCCTGCTTCTGGTGGAGAGCACAGGGAGATTGCCACATGCAGCATGAGATGCATTGCTCGACTCCTTCATGAGAGTTTTGAGAGGTTTAATTTCAATTACTGTGACACAAGGCAAGATTTAAAGCTACCATGACGGGGAAACAACAGAAAAACTGTCACGAGGAGACATAGCAGGCATCGTCCTTCTCAACAAATCTTGCCGTTACGCAAGCCGCGGGAACCAACAGAAAACCACCAGCGGACACAACAGGAGGCACATTCGCATATCGTGAGCATCGTGCTTCTCACAAGGCAGCTCAAACGCTTCCGATCGTCTTGCCCTCTTGTTTCCCATTACCAGTTGCAGCTCTCCTGTACCATCCTGAGCGCCTCGGCCGAGTCTCTCCTCATCTCGAAGGTGGGGACCCACACGTCGTTGACTGCCTGTACAGGTTTGCCCGCTGCTACTGCCTGCAAAGCTGCAGCTGCGTCCGCAGCAGCAGAGCTGAGCGAAACGTCGGAGCCAGTGGAAGCACGGAGAGTCATCCTAGTCTGTTTGTTCTAACTTCTCACTTGACAAGAGCTTGATTTCAAGAGACCGTTCCTGAGCACCACATGTTAGCAGCGGTAGCTCTGTAAACTAAGACCATCAATAATGGTTGAAACAATCTCATACTTCCTTACATCTGGCCGCTGACAACTATAAGATGGCCGCTATCTGCTCGCTATCTAGCGCTTTGAGACAATACAGCGATCATTGCGACACTGTGAGCGAGAGGAGATGATTGCAGGGTCATTACGGACCAAAACAATCTCAATCAAAATATTCTGTCATGAATCTGTCTTGTCCTGTAGTCAAAATGTCGCCCGTCTCCCAGGCTTTCGAAGTTTTCCTCGTTAACCATCCTTCGCTGTATGTCCTCATAGAGTTGTGCATGTAATATACATGATCTACATCTCTTTTGTGGTGCTCTCCTTCTAAACCATGCTGAAATGTTCAACAGCATACGCTGAACCCTAGGAATCATCACTGTTGTTGCCAAGTGTATCTTGCAGTGATTGCTCGCTACTTTGTTTCTAATCATGTAATTCTACTCTTTGCATGTAATTGAACCTCACCCGGAATCTTGTTCTCTGCCTGTCTTGCGCTGTGAAATTCCAACAAGAAAATTTCTTAAATTTCCCCACACATGCTGTCCAGTCAACATTCCCTTTTCCATGCTACCCTGACCATTGAAATGACCTGCTCTGAAAGTCTTCTCCTCTTCTCTTTCCTCCTCTGCTCTGCTCTGCTGTGTTCTGCTCTGTATTCCTCTGCTCTCCTCCTCCTCCGCTTCTCCCTTCTCCCTTTCCCCCATCTTGATTTGCATGTGCTCGAGACGCCACTCTACTTCACAACAACCAATATTCACTATAGACGTTTAACTCCTGCCATATTGACTACAAGAATGGAACTTCCAAGGGAACATTGACTACATCGCTGATGCTATACCAGGAAAGCTTGACTACATGGCATAATAATCTAAATATTGACTATGGGCGGGGTTTGCCGGTTGACCCGGGGAAAGTTGTTTGACTACAGGACCAAAGGAACCAGTTTTAAAATTAAAAGTATTTAAAAATTGAGGTACTTTTCTTTAAAAACCATAAATACCATGCTTAATTTTCAAATCAAGTATAGTATATATTTGAAAGTTTAGAACATCATTCATCAAAAGTATATTACAATCCAGCACTTCGTTCGAATCTAAAAGTGCACAAGTTGTTCTTTTAAAAATAATGCGACCCCAGATCTGATGAGAAATAGAATATAAGTATTTAAAGGTAGTTGCGACAATACAGCTGTGCGATATCTGATGCCCACTTTATCAAATTGTATATCAGCTAAGTTTTTGTATTCTTGCAGTACCCATTATCTCTGAAAATCATTCCAATAATACAATTATAAAAAGAAAAACTCGGAAAGTCCCTGTAAAGATATATTTTAAACAACACCAGTACACTTTTAATTTGTTTTAGTCACAACGACAGACTGTGCAGCGAAAATAATTATTGCATCTCAGATGGTTGTAATTAATATTAATTACCAATAAGTTTCACCAAACCTGAGCAAATCGGATCACCCATGTACATTACCGGAAGTAGGGGGGTAGGGGTGATTTGTTCTCGCAATCTCACCTCGTTTCTCTAGAACTTTCCGAGTGCTCTGGGGTACATGGATGACCCACCCCATCAAACACAATCAAATTGTCCTTATAGTACCGGGTATATATAAACACAGCAACCACTTTTAGCGAGAAGAAGTTCTGGCAAGACCCACCCCATGTCAAGATGACCCATCTTTCAACACCCCCACCATATGTCTTCTAGGCCAAATTTGTGGGAAAAGACGGGTACTTTGAGATGTCTGTACCGAGACCTATATTGAGTACCCCTGCAAATACAAGAGAATTTCCCATCACCCCTACCCCTTCATACTCTGCTTTCTACCCACCAATTTTCCCAGGTTCCTTACCTACGATCCCCACGACTGCATGGTACCACCCCTACCTATGAAATCCCTGTAGCATGACCCCTTCTTTTAAGCTGAACAATTGAACATCAGGGGGTGACTACCCCCACCCCCACCCCGTCTCGTACCCCTTTTCCCCATCGTCGTTACGTCCCACCCACCCACGTTGAAGACGTTTCAGCACTACCCCCTTTTCGAAAACACCCACATGGGATGAACGATTGTTCTCACAAGGACGGGGTACTTTCCATAGAAACACCCACCCTGGAAAGTGACTTTGAAAGTACTATACCCTCCTAAATACCCTTAATTATACCGGTTCTATGGGCATATTTCGAATACCCTACCCACCGCAATACAGCAATATACCCACCCATCAATAATCTTGATGAAAAACCCACCCCCTATCTCAAATCCAATATCTACGACCCTACCCAATCTTTTCAGATGCCTTGTTATGGTGAACCCTACCCCATGTTTCATGCGTACCCCTATCTTGTACCCTCATTGACCCTACCCTCCTATTGTATTCACACCACCCCCACCCCACATATACTCGTGCGCCTTCAGCCTCTGCAGCAAGTGACTCTCGGTAATGCAAGCGAAGAACTGGGGATGGGAGGTGTAGAGGAGGAGAAGGAGAAGAAGGATGGAAATTTGTCGTTCTTATTATCACTGTATCTTGCTTTCTCGACTTGCTTTTTCCACGTCTCGAGAGGGACTTGTGTTTGAAGTGATCTTGGAAGATGAAAGAAGGAAGTTTGCTGGTTTTCTGCGGTCATGTGTATATGTGTGTTGGTTTGATTTCATTGTGCAAATCGAGATTTCTTTCTTATTTTTGTGCCATGATGTTCTTTGTTGGAAGGGCATGATATTTGTTTCTTGCTCGAAGCTGTGAAGAAGCCAATTGTAACTAGGAGCCTTTGTACATTTGATGCAAGTTTGCGCGTCTGGACGTCTGCTTTTCTTTTCATCTGTACGAATATTCGCTTCGCATTGTTCTATGTCGTTTGAAAGAAGTTTCTTTTCTTGGATCACCATTCTAATCTTCTTGCAGGTCTCTCAATGCCTCCATCTCGTCGAACTGCCGTTTCGCGCCCTGCGCCCACTCATTCTAAGACCGTCACATCTCCATCTGTGCCGGCATCCACCCAGGCTAGGACCACTGCAGCTCCTCCTCCTCCTCCTCCTGCCTACAACAACGCACACCCTCAGCACCACGCCACTCCTGCTTCTGCTCCTCATCCCATGGCCCCCCCTCCTGCCATGGCCCCTCCTGCCGCCCCCCCTGCTCAGGCACCTGGCGGCGGCGGAGGATTCCTCTCTGGCATTATGGGAGGTGTCGTCCAGGGCATGGCGCTCGGAACTGGCAGTGCCATTGCTCATCATGCTGTCGACTCCATCATGGGTCCTCGCAAGGTCGAGCATGTGCACAACAACGCTCCTGCCCCGGAAGCTCCTGCAGCTCCTGCGGCCCCAGGTGAATTGGAAGAGGCAGAGCGAGGAAAGAGGAGGGGACTGACGGGAATTGCAGCTGGCTCGAGTCCCATGCAGTGCGCCAACGAGTACAGCACTTTCCAAGAGTGCGTGAAGAACTCCGGCGGAGACATCTCTGCCTGCCAGTTCTACATGGACATGCTCACCAAGTGCCAGAGACGTGAGTTAGCATGCGCAGCACAAGGCCTTGATGTGACTTGTTGCATGCAGAGTTTCCTTCTGCTTAAATGCCACCGGACCAGTACAGCTGCTGCGAGTGTGCTGCAAGTATTTCCAACGAAGGAAAGTTTGGTAAAGGAAAACATCTTGTTGATTAAAGTTAGTGATTGTACAAGTGTCAAGAGGCATTTCTTGCTTGCTCACTCACATTCATTAATTTAAAGTCACTTACATAACAAAGATCATGATCATTGATTGCCTCTCATCTGCCAACAAGTCACGCTCTCTCCCTCTCTCTCTCTCCTTGTCACCTGTCGCGCTCGCTGCACCTCGAACATGTATGGATCACCTGCTCTAGCTGTCAGTCTCATCGTACGTGCGAGGAGAGGGTTCGCACGAGGGGGGTATCCTCGGAGGTTGTCGAAGATGTGGTTCTGGTTGTTGTTGAGCCCGCTTCCTCGTTGCGCGTACGGATTGTCCCTGCACAGGCTCATTATGGATCGCCCCTTCCCTTCCCCCTCCCCCTCCTCTCTCCTCTATTCTCCTATTTTCCTCCTCCATGAATCTCTCCTCCCTCCTCTCTGCTGCTGATCCTCTGCTTCCCCTAGCGCTCTTTATCGCATCTCCGGCCCCTCACTTTGCAAGCTTCTGGTTGTGAGAGAATCCGTTGGCGATGGACATCTTCTCGTTGGAGGCGAAGGGGCTCTGACCATGCTCGTCTACAACCCCGTCAGCAGAGGTCGAGGAGAGCAGCGACAAGGGGAGGGCAGGAGGAAGCAAGAGGAACAAGCACAGTGAGGGGCAGAGGAGAGAGGTGAGTCAAGCGGAGAGTCGGAGAGGCCACAAGTCCCTCACATCCTTCTAGTCGCCTCCTCATCGGGCCATGTCGAGGCTTTTCGTATGGATTCGCTTCCGACCCCCTGCCAGCACCTCAGCCTATCCCTCCTCCTCCTCCTCCTCCTCCTCCTCCTCCTCCTCCTCCTCCTCCTCCTCCTCCTCCTCCTCCTCCCTACCGCTCAGCTGAGAGAGGAGCCTCAGGCTCGCTCGGCTTCACATGCTTCGCCTGCAAGCACTTGAGATAGACAAGACAAAAAGCAGCAGAGAAGCCAAACACAGACGGGGGCAGGAGGGATGGGTAGAGTTGGTGTGAGGGAGCAGGAGAACATGCGTGAAGGAGGCAGTTAGAGCAGTGGCACCTGTAGTCTGATAATCTTGTTTCGAACATGTTTCTTTTGTGCAGCATTCTGAAGTGAAAGATGAGGAC